GATATGCTGACTCTGTAAACCGCTTAGAGATGGCTGAAAGCCCTATGAAGCGGTATGTAAGTCTAACTGCTATTGCTATTGCTATTCCCCATTTCTTGATTGATCCCCAAATTTGGTTGAGAAATAGCAATAACACTTAAGACTTATATACAGCCCCATAATGCTTTGCAGGACAATCTGGGAGATTTACAAAATCAGCCTATTGCCCCCAACAATCTGGGTCCTCATTTTACTGATTGCAGAAGGATGGAAGGCTGAGTCAACCTTGAGCTCTACCAGGATCGAACGCAGGCTGTGGGCAGAATTTGCCTGCAATACTGCATTCTAACCACTGCACCACCAGGGCTCTTATAAAAGATTTTTTTAAAATCAATACTATTTAACCGTTCAGAAATACGCTACTTGTTGGAATGAGATAGGTAGGATTTCCAAATTTGTAATGAAAATAACTTCAAATGTTATGGGAAATATCCTTCTTTTTCTGTAGCAATTCCTTCTGCTGTTGTTTGCAAAAAAAGGCTGCAATTATACCCTTCTACTCTTTGGGCAAAAATACTTTGCTATTTTGCTATCATTATATCTTGGATTTGCCTGCCAGCAAAGTTTAGAACAAGCCATTCTCAGATTTGTCACAATCCTAGAGAAGAGAAAACTTATTAAATGCATACATAAATCCAAGTTAAGGAGTTAATGTTAGTTAGATTGAAAAATGTAAGAGGTAAAATGATGGTTAGGATTTTTTTATCTTGGTTCCATCAATTCCTTTTTAGAAAGTGTATTGGTCTGGGCTGAATCAATGTTGCAGGCTAGAAAATTGTGTTCCCTAATTTTCCTCCTTTAACAATGTCAATATGACAGCAACAACGTTAACAACATGTTCGAAATAACAAAGACTTCTTTTACCAATCACTAAACATATTAATGAAGCTTGAAATAAAACATTTCAGCTGTAATATATGAAACAACATTAATGTAACATTGTCCTAATTACAGTCACACTCATTCATCTTATCCATATCCAGATCATAAAGTTTATATTAAAAAGAAACTATGTATTAAAACAAATATACAACGAAATTGGAAGCATACATTTCATAAAGGAACTAAGCTGAAAAAATGCCTAGCCAGCTTTGCAATAATCTAAAGGGC